CTCGTGTAGGTAGTTGAACCAGCTGTATTGAGGTGGAACCACATCTCTCTGATTCTCTTGTCTGTTCTATAGCTCTAGTGATCCTCTGAGTCTCCACTGTTTCTAATACTAGAAACACCTGGAATATTAGATTGTGTAGGTAGTTGAACCAGCTGTACTGAGGTGGGACCACACTGCTCTGTTTCTATCGTCTGTTCTACAGTTCCAGTGTTTCTAACCATAGAAACATCTGGAATATTAGAGTGTGTGTGTAGTTGAACTAGTTGTACTGAGGTAGAACCACACTGCTCTGTTTCTAACCTATTCATTTCATCTATGGTATCTGTCCCTTCCATGATATCCATCTGATCTATCATAAACCTGAGTATCAGACTCATTAATGGTTAATTGGTGTATTCTTCTGTATTCTGTATTCCTGAAGATATGATCCTGAAGATACAATCATATAAGTCCACATGTTGTAAGCCATCTGAGAGCTGTCCATGAAGTGCCCGTCCCCCAGCCTTGTTTGAACAAACGGAGCTTGGCTCATACTTCTGTTCTATTCAAGGATCTGGGGTGCACTGTTGAATCTTAATGAATCTGTTCAGGTTAACTACTCCGCATTCATTAAAAGAACAAAGAGATAAAGGTGTGAGGCTGGGGAAGGGTTTTAGCATGAGTCTCCTATACTTTAATTACAATATATAAAGTTGTAATCTCTATTTGTCTTTTTGTTTTGTAATAAATATCTCGTAACCCTATATCTGTAAATCTGAACTACGTTGTACATTATTAATAACCTAACTATGCCTTCTATTAATTATCCACTTTTGTAAATAACTACATAACACCTGTATCACGATTTAGCTTAACTACGTTTGTGAATAGGGTTGTTAATCGTTTTTTTCGTTTTCCTATCGTTTTTTGTTTCGTTTTCCGATCATTTTAAAAACAATCGTTTTAAAAACTTTTTTTTAAAAAAACGATAGTTTTTAAAACGATCGGAAAACGAAACCAAAAACGATAGGATAACGAAAAAAAACGATCGTTTTTCAAAAAAATGAAAACGTTAACATCCCTATCTATAATAATAAAGCTTAGAGATTACTTCTTTATGTTCATTTGCAATATGCATTCTTAGATGTTCACATATATTGTTGTAATATATTCACATGTATTGCAGGGATATCTGTATAACATCAATTTTCATATTTACATTGATGAATATATCAAGGTTATTAGTTGCTGAACAATAATTAATCGATTACCTTTCACGTTTATGTTTACTTTTTACATGTCTATTCAGGTGTCTTATTGTACCTGCAGAATTGTTGCATTCTTCACAAGCATATTTTATACCTTCGTGTTGAATTCTAATATGTTCCTTAAGTTGAGCTTTTGTAGTTGCTGCATGTTTCTTCGAATACAGATATCTAATGATATGAAAGGCTATTCCTGGATTGGTATTGAACTAAAAGCATTTATTGGAGTAGGGCATTTACAACAGTTTGTTTGTTTTTCCAATCATTCATAATTCAGAAACCTTTAAACCGTTTTACCTAAAATTTTGATTGGGAAATTCGGGAGGACCACGGGAATGGTCTTAGATTGATTTTGAGATTCTAAAAATAGTGGATCTATTTTGATCAGGAAAAATTGTTAATATTGTAATTTACGACAAAGCAAATCACCGGGACTAATTATGACCCCCTGTGCAGTGCAAGATAAAAGTCCAAGGGCAGCGCCTGGCACTTAAAATCATGACTTGAAATGGTGGGAGTAACTATGAGTTAGAGTATAAACCCGGGGAACACTGGGCATTTTAGCTAATATAGATATTCAAAGAAACTGGTTTCTTGCGCCAAACTCAAACGTTTCACGTCCTTATATTTTTGCAACATGCACAATGAATTGCAGACCTTTGATTTTTCAAAGTGCGGACAAAAGCTAGAATTTTTCTATGTGAATCCACTTTGTAAATCATGAGATTACTATATTGAAGGCACTAGATTAAAAATGACTCATTTCGTCATCATTAAGAAGTCTTCGGTCTTTATTAACCATATAGGGTCTAATTTTCTTTTATGAGCAGGACTTGAAATAGTGGACAGGGAAACTTAAAGAGCAAAATCATAGGGGGGGGGGGTCGAAAAGACCCCCCTTCCCCCAATCTATATTAGACGAAAATATCCCAATCGGAATAGAGTTAAAGGCTCATCCTTTGATGAACATTTTATTTTAACATTTTATAGTCTGCCTTATTTATGATAATATCTAACTCGTGATAAATAAAGAAAATGTATAATTGTTCATATTTTAATCACAATCCACCAGATTACAATCCCGTGAACGATCTACGCCACTACCACTGGGCGCGATCTCGATTAATAAGGTTTTTTAACACGCTTTAGACGATCCCTTTTATAGGAGATTCATATCACTACAGTTGACATTTTATCACTTTTCTGAGCACATGATTATTTTTGGTTATTTTCAATATTATTTTGAATTGTATGTTCTAAAATAAATGGAAATTTATTAATGACTCTACTCTACTCTTTACAAGGTGGTTTAGCGTTCACAGTTTTCATTACTTTTGGTTCTTGAGGCACCATACCGGTTAAACATTTCCAGGACTTAACATTAACAACCTTCGTATTTATTTTAAAGCTTGACTAGAAGTTCAAAACTCTGCAAACTCCGGTTCAAGTACCGGAGCGACCTTACAGCAGCTATAGAACAAGCTGTACAGTACACATACAGCCTTTTAATGCAAACCGGGACGGTACACCAAATGGATTATTGTGGAAAATTTCCAGCTCTGATTTAACTGCTAATTGATGCAAAATATTCTGTATATGAGGACAGCTCTAGCTGTCATTTCTTCTCTTGGAGGATTCAGTTGAAATAAATCAAGCTTATTAAAATCTGGAAGTTTTATCTCAGAAAGTTTTCATCGTAAAATATTCGCAAATCACAACTTTTAAACAAAACCCAACTAGTTCACAATAATTTAGCAAGAAGGAGATGATTCAATATAATGTCTCGTTTTTCAACGTCCAAAGTCTGTAGTCGCCTGTTCGGTGTGATATTTAAAATAAAGGAGAGCTTAAAGTGCGTAAAATGAACTGTAATTACTTACCAAAAACGCTAATTTGCCAATCCTTATATTTTTGCAACCCGTAGACCGAATGGATATTTTTCATTAATTCTTCAAAATCAAGATATTAACGCTCAAGATGTCTGAAAGGAATTGAGTCTTTGTGACAAACTATGATTTTCTAATCTCTATATCTTTGCAACCCAATACCGTAGACTTAAATATTTCCAACTATGAATTCTGTCAGATAAAAGAATCTAAGTTTGAAATATCAAAGGTTTACACCATCAGGTGGAACAAATATAGGTATTAGAAAATCAGAGTTTGTTACAAAGACTCAATTCCTTTACAAAATTGTTGGAATTTTTTTTCTTTGAAATAAAGAGTTCAAAATTGTTGGCCATGGTTGAAGATTTTAACCTAGACTTCTTCATCTATATATTACTTTCTATGAAAACAAAGGATTAAGGACTGGAGTATTTACAACCCATTCCACGAAAAAAAAGAATACAAGATAGAACATATAACCTTTATTTATTTTAAGACTGAAATATATAATAATATAACAATTTTGTCGGGTATGCAAGGAAATTTTTTAAAAGATTAAAACAAAAAATAAAGTAATTACAAAGCCCATCAAAAGAAAAATTAAATTTTAAATTTAAATTTAAATTATTTCAATCAAAGATTTAAAATGTTCACAGTTTTTTCTTCAAATATTTCAGATAAAAAATAAAAATGCACAAATATATAAAACATTATTGCACACAGATTTATCTTTACAACAAATGAAAAAAACATAAGCATTAAATTATTAATTTTAAATGTTTGAATTCATCTTTAAACTTGCAATGCGCAAAATCTAAGTTACACGACATAGTTACACGAATGTAAGACCTGACCAATATATTTAAGTAACCTTCCTATAAAAGGTGGCTTATATTCGGGATGCAGAGGTGGGAGGTTCTTACACTATTCTAAATTACTGTATAAAACAATTGTAAAGTCAGAAAGAATACAATGTAGAGACAAAAAATAAGCTCACTTGCAAAATCTTCCCGTAGTAAGTTTTTCCTTCTTTATATTTCTTGAACATTGAAAAACTTCCCTTTGATAAAGTTTACCTACAGCGCATGCCTTTGGCGCCTAGGTCATTTCATGTAACCCTCAAATCAACGAGTGGTATTTCAGATTTCCAAAGGTACTCATAAAAGCGGTTTATGATCTAGAATAAATGAGATATATATGTTTTTAACTTTGAAAATTGATTACATCACCAGTTGTAACAGAAACAATATGAAGGGATTCACCAGTTTTTGCTTATTATAAGAAAGTTTAAAGGCTTTCAGTTGTCAATCTTTTAACGGGAGCTCACTTGCAATTTCAATGACAGGCTTTTTAAGAAAACTAGAATTCTATCATTTGAAATAATTGATAGAAATCCTCGAGTGTAACACTTTTTCCCGATATTTCAACAATACAGGATTTAATTGGCGTGACAAAAAGAGGAAAATTCGGTAAATTTTTGGCATAGCATTAGATTTGGAAAAAGCGGCCTGGAAATCTGACACTTTTTGGGGAAACTTTCTGGAATTTGACTTTTTTTTTGCAGTTTTGAATATTCTAATGATTAACTATTATAAAAATTAAATGATCAGCATCATGCTTTTACAGGGAGAACCATGAAAGACGACTTTTAGACTCGAATTATGACTTTAAATTTTCTCATGAACATAAGGCACGGAAATTGACCCAGTTCAGTTAAGTTATTTCAGAGGCTGCTATAGTAAAACTGTTTAATTTGTAAAAACATCAACTTCACTTAATTATTAATTCAATGTCGCCTTACTATTCCATAGTTTATTTCAATTATATTTGATAGATTAGATACCTAGCTTTATATTTGCAAGTTTTTGTGCCACTTCCCCATCTCCAGCATCCTTTAGTTCTGTGCCTTCCACCTCAGCCACAGCATTTCTACCAACAAAGTTAGTTTTTAACAGTGCTTTAGATCCGGATCCGTTGGATCAGCAACATGTTTTAACAGTGCTTTAGATCCGGATCCGTTGGATCAGCAACATGTTTTAACAGTGCTTTAGATCCGGATCCGTTGGATCAGCAAAATGTTTTAACAGTGCTTTAGATCCGGAATGTTTTAACAGTGCTTTAGATCCGGATCCGTTGGATCAGCAACATGTTTTAACAGTGCTTTAAATCCGGATCCGTTGGATCAGCAACATGTTGGCTTCCTCAGAGCCGCGATTATAAAGTTTTTGGAAAATAACCCTCAGGTCTAAGCTCATTAAGACTTATTTAAGACTCTAGCTTTTGGATTTAAGTTGCAACTTTTAAAGAGTTGGGTTTATTAGACCGGTTTAATATTGTATTTGACAAATTTTCATTGTTAGAATTCTTGGATTTGAGGAATTTATTTAGAATAAGACTCAACATTGAGACTAACTCTCCGCTAAATCAAACCAAGGTCGGTTTTATTTTCATTGGACTTAACTCCTTAAGGCTGCTGTCTATCACGTGACACAAGCTGTTGCAGCTGATTTATAAGTTGGGTCTAAGATTGAGACCTAAACTTGGGTCTAAGGAATTAAGACTCGAGCCATAGCTTTTAAACCGTAGGCTCTGGATCCGGAACCGGATCCGTTAAAATGTGCGCCAAGAGACAAAATACCTATCATAACCTACTAAAAATGAACCTTTTCTTTGAAAATACAAATCTAAACTGTTAACTAGTGAGCAATTAAAAAACATTTTTTTTAAATTCGATTTTTTTAGTTTTGCGGGTAACATCGGGCACTTAAGCTAGTTTTATATAAATTAAGAATAGCACGCAACTATGACAAAAAATAAGTAAAAAATATTGATTTTCTCAGTCCAATCTGTCATAAACATGCAACTCAAAACAGTCTTGCAAAAAAAAACATGAGAGCTGAAAACTTGAGAATTGGATACGCTTAATAATACCGATCCTTGAAAATCTTAATATCCACGGTAGACAGTTATGATTTCTGCTTAATCCTCTTTTTTCTCCTTTTTTATTTTCCTACTGGATTCTGACCAATGAGAGTTCTTTCATTAAATGGCGTGCAATATTTCAAATTTCCCGGCTTCTGATTGGCTGTTTGATTTCTACAATGGAAACTCTGATTGGCTACATTTTGGATACTTTATACTGGATATAAACTAAAGACTTTCTTTTTATTTATTCTATATTTTACATTTTCGTAAAAACAATTAGGTCTAAAACGATGAAATCCTAAAAAACGTCTAAAATTTAAATAAAAGATGTTCTCACAACAGAACTTTTTCTCAACAGAATTTACAAACAATTTAAATAATTTAACACGTTTTAGAATAGCCAAAAACTTAAAAAATACGTAATGTTTTATAACAGGTAAAGAAAATTTCATTCCAAACAATCAAAAATGTTAAACAATCTTAAAGTTTATTCATTTATTCAAATTTTCTTAACTTTTCCTGACAACTCATGTCCCTCAGTTTAGGTCGACAATTTTGGTTTCTATTTACCGCGCGCGTTTATTGCTTGAAATTATTTCTTAAAGGGACAGTAAAAGAAAAATGAAAGGGGGTATAGGCTGAAAGCTAATCACTTTAGCTCTCGATCGCGACCCATGAAAGTTATATCTGATGTTCCTATCTCGAGAAACTGATTTACAACATTGTCAAACTTATACAAAAATTAATATATATATACAAGTTTGTATAAAAGTAGTGGGTTTAAAAAGATCAAATTCAGCAAATATGCAACCAATCTGAAAACGATGATATCCCAGAGAAAGCTTAGGTAACTTAGGTTTACTAATTCTAATTTTATATTTGTTATTTCTATTTTTTATAGATTTAATTCAAAATATTATTTATACGTCCGTATTGCTTGACCAGAAATTCCACCAATGGCAGTGCAGTAAAGTGGTCACGTGACCAGTATCTGCTCTGCCATTGGTGATAGTTCTGGTCACGTGATTTAAGTTTAAGATTTTCTAAATTTTACATATGTGAACTTTTTTATAATTTTAACACAGTTTTAAATCAATTTCTCGAGAAAGGAACATCACTGATGTTACATCAGATAAAACTTTCATGGGTCGCGATCAAGAGCTAAAGTGATTAACTTTCAGCCTTTACCCCCCTTTCAGTTTTCCTTTTATAATATACTGGTTTTGGAACCCAGATTTTACTGGAAACTAAACTTTTTCTCTAAAAATCATACAAAATTTTCATAATTTTTAAACCATACTTAAAGAATATTACCATAATTGTTCCACCGAATTCCCAAATCAAAATCGGGAAAAATCACAAACAGAGATTACTTCTTCATATATTTAGATAGACTATATAACAGAGATTACTTCTTCATATATTTAGATAGACTATATAACAGAGGTTACTTCTTCATATATTTAGATAGACTATATAACAGAGATTACTTCGTCATATATTTAGATAGACTATATAACAGATATTACTTCGTCATATATTTAGATAGACTATATAACAGAGGTTACTTCTTCATATATTTAGATAGACTATATAACAGAGATTACTTCTTCATATATTTAGATAGACTATATAACAGAGATTACTTCTTCATATATTTAGATAGACTATATAACAGAGATTACTTCTTCATATATTTAGATAGACTATATAACTCCATGATATTTAATCAAAGTTTTATCATATGGCATTGTGATAAAGTGCTTTGAAGTTTATCACAAATCACATTTTTTTATATGTCAATATTCTGAACTGAATTTCTCAATATATATTCAGATATTTTGCAGTTTGTAAAATCCTCCAAAAATGCATAAATTGTACCTTCAATATATTATAAACTATTGTGTTCTTTATCATTCTCACTTACTTCATCGTGAATTTCATAATGAACGTGCTATAAAGTAATTATCGTGCGATAATGTTAAATTAGCTGTACATCATAGCACGTGTGTTATAATGTTTTGATTGGTTTCCGGATTTTCTCCAAAAAAAATTAGGATATTTCCAAAATATTTTTTTCAATTAAAATGAAAATAAAATAGAAATCAACTTCATATTTTGACTTCTATTTTGTTTCAAAGTTTATATGATACAGTGAAACCCTTAATAACGGATACATCGAAAGAATTCATCAAATGTCGTATTCTTCACTTTCTAATAATGGAATGTTGCAGATATTTAGTTTTTTTAATTAAATGATTATGTTCCCGCATATTCATGGCTAATTATTTATTTTCGCAAATACTGAGATTTACGTAATATAGTATAAAACTCATTAAAAAATTGTCAAGACGACATTTAATAAATTCTTCCGATGTATTCGTTATTAAGGGTTTCACTGTAGAAATGACCATTTAAATAAGACACAAACGTTTCATAAAATTATTTTGGCACGACGTGCTATACAGTTTTTGAACTAAAATGTTCTCTATATCTCGAAGGTTCTCGCCTTTTTAGATTTTATGCTGTCCCTCAATAAAGCTCGGGACAAAATTAAATCTAAAAAGACTTGAACCTTCTCGATAAAGAGAAAAGGAATTGAATCTTTATCATAAACTATCATTTTCTAATCTCTATATCTTTACAACCTGATGGTGTAAACTTTTGATATTTCAAAATATGAATTCTGTTAGATCAAAAAGTCTCAGTTTGAAATATCAAAAATGTTCAGTATCGGGTTGCAAAGATATAGGAATTAGAAAAGTTGAGTTTGTGGCAAAAACTCAATTTCATTCTGTCCAAAAACTTTATAACACTACGCACCAAAATAACAGTGCTATAAATAGTTATTATATGTTATATTATGTTCTTATAAATTTATATAATAACATAATAGTAATTGATATAAAAGTATAAGTAAACGATGCAACTTTTTATAGCAGCCCTGATCTATGCCCCCTCCCGCTTCTACCTTATTAGATTATATGTAAAAAAAACTTGTGGAAAGAAACCATCATGCAACACAAACTCTTTAGAAAATAAATATATTAATGATTTTTTTTTCGTTTGATCGGACTGAATATTTTTGCAGTAAGTTAAATTTTATTGAAATTTGTCAAAAACAGATTTTATTCAAGAGTTTCCCAGAATTTTATATTTTTAAAGGATTTCGAATTTAATGCTAGAACTTTAAAGTGCCCTTTCAAAATAAAATTTTTCCATTTGAAATTAAATAATGAAATCGAAGAAAAAACTTTGCTTTACTTTTTGATAAAAACAAAACAATTGATATTTACAGTTTTTCCTAAACAAGACAATGCACTGTTCTCTACTCGTCCTTTAATACTAAATCATTTTCCACGATGTTTTAAATAAAGGGATAATAGACGTAAGTGATCCTCCGATTTGAGTCACAAAGATAAAAATATCGTTATTTTCCAATCTACTTAAGTACTATAATTCCTCGAAATTTCCATAATTGTCTATGCTGTATAAATCTGCTAGTAATTTCAAAGAAAAATCCCGGTTAATATTAAAAATTTCTATCCAGGAAAGCTAGGATAGCCTATTCATCCTTGATCAGACAAAGGTTAGAGGGGTACCCTGTGTGAATCAGACATGGAGTGGATGGTCATCACAGTTGAAATTACGTGTTGTAGACAATTAATAAAAGCAATATTAATGTAAAGCTTAGGAACCCAGCTCCGCCTGGAAACTAAATTTTTCTCAGGAACCTCAACCCAAGTCCATTATTGCGCCTGATCCAATCAGGATTCAGTCATGTGTTTGTTGTCTATTCTGAACCAATAGAAATATAAGTATTGTGGTAAAATTTATCTTTCTATCTATCTCATTATCCAATCAGAGTTATGAATCCTTCAGTCGGCGCGCAATTTATTTGAAGTGGTCCTACCGAGTCCAACAATCAAAATTTGAGACAAATTGGTCAAGGGGGGCCTGATCGGTAGGATCGGATATAAAAAAAAGCCCACCCAAACAATCAAAAATTTCTACTTTATAGAAATAAATAATAATGAAAAGTAAACTCTGATGATAACAGCAATAATAATAATAATACCTGCGGCCTGTTCTGCCAGATTGTATAAACTCATCTAATTCGTCACCCTAACCAAAATGTAAAAAAATAAAAAATAGTTGTAAGAATAAAAGTAAACTGTAATTAATCATTAGATTTGAGATCTACATATCTAGATGTTTTGCTTGTCTAGTTCTTCAATAGTTAGGTCGAATATTTTTTGTGGGACCTCACATGACCAGAGGGAAGGGTAATGCATAATTAGAATTAAAAATTAACAATTAAACATGTGACTTTTACAAATTTGGTAATTTTGAAATTAGAATAATGACAAGAGAACTGATTTTTTAATTGTTTAAAATCAGAAGAAAAAATACGTAGATAGGGGCGCGAAGCGTCGATTTTTGTAGTTTGTTACCTGTTCAGCCTTCTCCTCCTCCATACTGTCTGCAATAACAAACAATCAAATTTTTTAGGGGCATTTTTTTGCTAATTTTTGTCTTCAGTTTTTACTTATCACAATGATAAAAATTTTAAGAATTTTATGTTTTTATGTAATTCTAACTTGTAACTTGTACAAAGCTTATCACAATGTTGAATATATATGGTTTCTGTCTTGAATTCCTTTTTTCTTTTTTACTTTTTCGACATTTTTTTGAATAAAAAACTTTTAAAATTATCGGATACATATATAAAAAAATTATTATGTATTTCAAATATTAATCGTCTATTTTATGAAATTATTTTTATTGTCTTTTTAGTTGTGAAATTATCCAATTAAAATTCTTAGAATCTAGAACAAAGTTATTAAATATTTTAAAGATATGACTCACATACTTCCAGAGTAAAAATATAATTAATTTAAATATATAATTCCAGAGTAAAAACATAATTAATTCCAATATATAATTTCAGAGTAAAAACATAATTAATTCAAATATATAATTTCAGAGTAAAAACATAATTAATTCAAATATATAATTGTTAAAAATATGTTCATAAAAAGCGGAAAACTAAATACTTTACTCATGGAAACACTTTTTTAAAAGTCTTTAATGTAAAAATAATTTGTTCACTATTAAAGTAATATTAAAGTAATATTAAAGTAATATGCTACATTAAAGAAATTCGAACATTTCTTTCTGATTTAGGACAAAAACTTTCCATTCTATTCTGATTTAATTCACTTTCTTTTAAAAAGTAAACTAATTCGGCAATGGGTGTCAAAGAAAACATTATCGACTTGGATATGGGCACGCTAGAATTTTTTCATTTTGTTCGTTCATCGTTCGTAAACGACCCATTTCTTTCGTTGTTTTACAATCGTTCAAAAAATGGAGTTAGTTTGTTCTCAAAATTTTCGTTTATTTTCCATCTATTGCGTTTTGTTTTCTCACTCACTAAAGGATCATTCAGTAAAAAATAAAAAAAATTTTGAAAGTTTGTTTAAAAAATCGTTCGATTTGGAAAAAGGTTTTTTTCCAAATCTTTTGGTTAAAACGTTTGTTCAGCAAAAATCGATCGTTTTTTAAAGTTCATTCGAACGATTTAAAAAAAATTTTCATTTGTTTTTAAAGCACGATCATTTGCCTAAAATTACCTATAATCATGTCGACAGTACCTTTAAACAGAAAAATGACATCTTGACGAGATGAAAAATGCGCAAAATGTTTTTACCGAAGAAAAAATTTTCACCTGAAGAAATAAAGTGTCAGTTAAAACCTCGCTGCAGTTGGTCAATCATGAGAAAGCCAAATATTTCATTTTTTATCTGAAAATATGAAACTATAGTTAATCGGGACCAAATATTTTGTGGGACCAAAAATGACCCCAGAGAATGTTTATGGATGCTCATATTTACAAAAAAAGGTCTCAAAAATATTTTGATTATCGTAAAATTTTGTGAATCCGCGAAAAAAATTCTAAGTCCGCAAAAAATTCTAATATTGTTTTGTCTAAGAGAAAATGATGAAAAATTTAGCAACAACTTAAATTTAAAAAAGAAAACGAGCGCGAAGCGCCCTGATATCAATGAATACAAAAATGCATGAAATAATACCAAGTGGATTCATTAAAAAGAAAAATGTTTAAATACATTGTTATCATTTTCTGTTTAAAATATTGAGATTAACTTCAGCTCTTATTTAAATATTAGGAGAAATATATTTGTTAATAATAATGCTAAAATATTAAAGTTTTAATATATCTAAAACTTAATTAGTTAATTATTAAATTTTTTTCTCAAATATTGATATAAAGCTTTTAAATACAGCTTTCATATTTTTATTTGATATACATAGAGTTTTATAAAAATTTTAGCAAAGCTATTAATCTTTTTTTGGTTTTTGCAAAGTTTAACCTAAGCCTAAATATTTGACTGCCAACGATTTATTATCAATTAGTGACACATTTTACAAAAGTATTTTATGGGTCCAGTAAAATTCGGTTTATTTCAAGTACCGGGACGAATTTTAACAAGCTAGAGCAAGCTCTACAGTACCATTACTTTCTATGGAAGGCAAACCGGGACAGCAAATAAAAAAAAAATACATATAGGTCACCCAATTTTTTTCGGGACGACCCCTTTATTTTCCAGGGGGGATATTTCCCCGGGCCCCCCCCCCCCCATAATCCGCTAATGTATATTAATGTATATTTAGTATTAAGCAGCTAAATTGTTGGATAATAGAAGTTTGACAATTCCTTCATTTAAATTAAACTTATTAAAATTCAGGTTTCCAGTTTGAGCCTTCGTTCAATGTTTGGCGATTATATCAATACAATGAAGACGACTTTGTATCAAGCTTTTAAACAGCATGGATATACATGAACATAGAAGTCAAGAGAAGATTTTTTTGATACCTTGTAAGCTTGTGATTTGAAAAAGCTTGTTAACAATAAAAACTAAAATAAAAAAGTTGTCTTCATTTTTAATGATATAATCGCTTACCACTGTAGATAGTTTCTATTTTAAATATCAAGTTTTGTAAAATTGTTTAAGTTGTCCCATTTACTATATGAAAATTAGGGAAAACTGTATTGTTTTAACAAAAATTTTACGCCAAAAATCGATGTACATTGTTTATAAAATCAAGTATGATTGCTAAAAATATTTTTTAATTGTATCAAATAATATAACAATAACTCTAAATAAACCTAAAATATTAAAAATTTTCGAAAAAAGATGCTTTTAGTCTAAATTTTATAGGATATTTGTCTAGCTTCTTATTCGTATATCTGGCTCAAAAGTTGGGATATTATTGTGAACAAAAGTTGGGATATTATTGTAAACAAATAATGGGATATTATTGTAAAAAAAAGTTGGGATATTATTGTAAACAAAAGTTGGGATATTATTGTAAACAAAAGTTGGGATATTATTGTAAACGAAAGTTAGGATATTATTGTAAACAAAAGTTGGGATATCATTGTGAACAAAAGTTGGGATATTATTGTAAACAAAAGTTGGGATATTATTGTAAACAAAAGTTGGGATATTATTGTAAACAAAAGTTGGGATATTATTGCGAACAAAAGTTGGGATATTATTGTAAAAAAAAGTTGGGATATTATTGTAAACAAATGTTGGGATATTATTGTGAACAAAAGTTGGAATATTATTGTAAACAAATGTTGCAATTTTTAGCCAGTAAAAAATAATCGGGTTTGATGCGAACTTTATGCCCTAAATTGTTTTTTTTCAAAAAAATTTTAAAAAACCTAAAATTTTAAATCAAATAACTTCTCTTGAATGATCAAAGGTGTTTTTTTAAAGCACAAATGCATGATTTCAAAATTTTAAATTTTATTTTTAAAATGTTATGATTTTGTAGCTGCATGATTAATACATATTACATAAATCTTAAAACCTTGAAACCTTATACAGCTGTTCAAAATATAAGTAATCTTTCCTTGCATTCCAACGCAACTGATTGCATTCTTAACGATTACAAAAGTAAAACTTCTTTAAAGTGTAAGCTTTAGTGTGTAGAATACAGTGTGAAAGAATTGTTAGAAACCAAGTTACATTTCTCTAATATGAACCAAGTATTGGAAAACACAAACAGGGGTTTAAAGAAAACATATAATTCTAAATATGCAAGAAATTCGTGACTCTTCGCGCCCTAATCTAATAATATAATGCAGTATTTCTGTACGCTAAAACTTGAAATGAGGAGAAGCGGATAGAGAGTATTAAGATTAATAAACAAATGAATAAGTAATATGATAATGACACCATTTTTACTTTTATTGCTAGTTATTGCTTAGAAAAAATGTACAAAATCGGAATAATAATAAATTTTTAAAATTTTATCTAGTTCACAACTGTTTACAGTGGAGCACAGTACAGACCAGTACATAGTATTGTACACATGTCAATATAAAAATGAATTAAAATGCTAATGTATACTAGTGTATAATGCACATTTAACCAGAGATAAGAGAGTACAGAGATCTATTTAAGGCTAGTAAATGATATATTTTCTACAGCAGGTTCCATTGTGTACGACTGGAGTACACGAACAATAAATAGACGTCTGTATTCAGGGAAATTTAAGGATCATTTGGATACAAATTATAATGCCTTCAAAAATAGATTAGATTCATAAAGTTTGTGTTTTATGTTCAAAATTAGAGTATTTTTTTTTATTAATTGTAAAACTTAACCCCTGAGTGGGTATAATATGGAAAAAGTGGCCGTTAGATGGCAGTCCAAAACCTTCTGTGGAAATGTAGAATGAATTAATATATCTAGTCTGTGATTGGTATAAAGAAATACTCCACATTATGTTTATATAAAAATGTTCAACTAAGCCTAAGCTAATGATTTGAGTTGAAAAGTTGTGTAGAGTTTAAAGTTGTTTTTATTGTTGGTAAACATGCAATGAGGTCTAACGAGGAAGGGGGTGCACGGCTGCCATGAGCCCCAGAAAATAGTCTCCAAGTCTGACGCTAGCCCTAAACGTTAGAATACATATTATAGAAGTAATAAAAAAACTGTTTCAAAGTAATAAATAATTTTTAAATAGATACATGCAGTGTTTTCTTGAATATCCAAAAACATTGCTTAACTCAGAATATATCAATTATTTTTTTCTACATTACTTTTATAATATCAATCTAAAGGATTTTTCTACATTACTTTTATAATATCAATCTAAAGGATTTTTCTACATTACTTTTATAATATCAATCTAAAGGATTTTTCTACATTACTTTTATAATATCAATCTAAAGGATTTTTCTACATTACTTTTATAATATCAATCTAAAGGATTTTTTCGAAAAGTTTTTTTATTTTATTATTTCTACAATATCAAACTAAGTTCTCTTCAACACGTCTTTATATTTACCCTTTCAGATGACAGATTGGAATTTAAATTATGACATTTTGAATTCATCTTGGAAAAAATACATTTAGAAAATATTCAAAAAAGATCAACTTTAAATCATCTGATCGCAGATCCTAACGGTGTGTTCGTCCTATCGAGATGAATCTATCGAACACTCTGTGAGAATTGGCTATCACTAATTTCTCCTTTTTGTTGGATTTTCTTGCTGTTCGCTCCTGGTTGATTTATTATAACAGCTTTTTTTACAATGAGAATACAAATTCACGGGAGTTCAAATAAAAATACACTATTAGCAGTGCGGTTTTCGGCAATATTTTTTTTTTCATGAGGGGGGAAAGTTTGGGGAGGGGTTCATCAACAACCTTGTGTAGTCAATATATAGTACAGAAGTGAAAAACTAATGTTGAAAATTGTTATTATATATTTAAAAGTAATTAATGTTTCACGTCGATTTGGTAGATTTTAAGGATTTTGCAATTGAGATATACCTTTTAATCTTCATACAAGTTTTGTGCTTTTTTTCTAGATTTTTTCTCAAACCTATATCTTCAAAAGTTAATTATGAAAAATGTAATTAATATCGGTAAAAACGTTGCATGATAATATTAAGAAATGTTATTAAATTAGGTTGACATTTGATTCTATATTAACTTTTATAAGAAGAGCTTTGCATTTACCAATTAAATATATTCTTAGAAAATATTCGCAATATGTGTAAAATTCGTTAAGTTAAAAAGAAGTTATGTTTTTGTTTCATTATTTTGTTTACATTTGATGTCAAAGTTTAAAGTGGTTCACCCCTGAGAATATGATTAAGCATGTTAAACTTTTAATTTTGTTCCAAAACTTTGTAATTTAAACATTTGGCAAAAAGAAAAAAATTGGGAATATCTTGCTAGAAAAATACTTTTAAAAATGGCCATGTTTCAAATGTAGGATTATTACCAATTTTAATTTTAATTTTAAAAAATTTTAATCCTCATAAAAATATGATATTGTTATTATATAGTATCAAGGCATTTTCAAAAAGTTTTTTTCTTATTTTAAGATTGAGTTAAAAATATAACGATATGAATTGAATGAAAATGCTCCACGAATTTGCTAAAAGTTTAATATTCTCAAACTTTCTTTGAAAAAAATCTCAATCAAACTTTTACATGACTTTATTATTCTTAATCTTGCCCACCATGAGATTGAATCAATGGAATTCATTTCATAAATTCAAATGAGCCTAAACTGACATGAATAAGCCTACTATGAATAGGGATAAATGTATTTACGGCATAAATAACAGTTAATTTCGATACTATACTCATTGGAAGAAAGCCGGGGGGCTTACACCGGACTATCCGCCTTTTTTTCCGCCACATATGGTAAATCAACCTTCCTCTTGCAATTCTTCGTATAGACTGCCAATCT